TAGTATGGCGTTTGTTATTTGTACCAGTTGGACAATAACTTTACGTGGAAGATTTTTGGAGGCTTGATATGGGATGCCATCTGGTCCGGGGGCCTTTTTGCTTGGGAGCTGGTGGATAATTCCATTCATCTCGCCGGGCGTGACATGAAATTCAGCGAGCAACTGCTGGTGGATGGGGTATTTCCTAATAGCAAAAGCTGCAGCTGTACGCTCGATTTCATTCTGTCCAGGGGAGTTGGATGGGAGTCCGGAATGAATACTCTTCATGACTGAAGCCAGAGCTTCCGCCTTGTCTGGGGCTGTGACGCAATCCCTGTCATTACAAGTAATGGCAGGGGTGCGCGCAGGCTGCCCCCTTATTCTGAAAGTAAGGCGCCACTGAGAGTTGTCTTGAGGACGAAGGTTTTGGAGGGTTTCTGTCCATCTACGGTTCCGGAGCTCGCTGATGCCATCTTTGATGGCTCCCTCGAGTTCCCGAACGCGTCGGCGATCCTCGTTCCTTCGGAGGCGTTGCCACCTCCTCCGGGTGCGATTCTTCAGCGAAATGAGATCAGTGAGCTGTCGTGAGAGCTCGTCGCGGCCTCAACGAACGGGCATCTTGGTTGCGAGGGAAGTTTGGGTTTGCTGGACATTCGTGGTCAAGGTTGAAACCTCTTGCTCAATAGCGTCTATGGTGTCAATTTGACCAGGAATTTGGGTTAGGGTGTTGAGTGTCCGCCGAAACAGGGACCAGTTGAAGTTTTTATAACTAAGATGAACTGGTGACTTGTGGGCGAGGAGAATCCACTGCCACTGACAGGCGGGTCCGCGGGGCATTGAAGCATCCATAGATCAGGACGCCATTTGCAAGCTGGATGCTTACGTGCTCAATAGCACTTTGCCGCTGTGGCATCCGCTTGTATGCAATTGAACTTTTGATCAATATCGCCACACCGCCCGCGCGGAAGCTGTCTCTGTCAGAGGGTTCGACGGAGAAGTTTTTCACCACGAGACGATCTTTATTCCCCAGCCATCTCTCGACGACTACAGTGATGTTGATCCTCTCATGGTGACGGAAATGGATAAGCTCACCTGATTTGCCATTGAGGCTATTAGCGTTCCAGTAAATTATTCTGAACATTTTTCAGATTGAATTCTTTTATTTCGCAGCAGAAGAATTGACGACTGGCGTTGATCAACCCCGCCTCATCACTGCATTGCTCTAGCATGCCAATGTAATAGTCAAGGGCACGCATCATGCCGTCCATGTTCACTAGCGACTCCAGGCGGGAAAATTTAGCCTGGAACGTCGTGAATGTTGCACCTAAATTGGAAGGGGTTTGGCTTACCTGGCTAGACACTATATCGCGCACAGCGTTAGCGGGATCACACACTCCGCTCTCGCGCACTAATCCCCAGGGAAAGTCACGATCGTAGTTCATTGTTGTTGGTTGGTGTCCTAGTGGCTGCGTCTGGGGTTGTCTTTGAGGCGGCTGCCTTTGAAGAGGAACATCCTCTCGTCCAGCATTTCTTTGCGTTATTTATACACCGAGCCGTTGGATGACATTGCCCAGTGTGCTTCGTTGCAGTTTGCACAGACCGACTGCTTGTCTCTGTTAGGGTGGTCGGCTGTCAGGTGTGCTTCTGCGCATTTGGAGTCATCGTATGCCCCCAGGCTTGGCACTTGATGCACTGGGTGACGTCCTTTCGGTTTTTTCTTTGTTCTCTCCCTGTACCCTGGAAGCAAAGACTATTTTGGCCGTGGCTCTAATTTTGGCTAGTGTCCAGTCTGATGTTGTGACAACCATTGGATAAATCTCCTTCACCCTCATTGCGTTCCTGTCTGCCAGATACTCTTTGATTTCATATAGCGCATTACGAAAGCGTGCATCTTTTCGGAGGCAGTACAGTATGACTGAGTTTCTGGCATATTTCATCTCGAGTGGCTGTGTGGTGATGTTTGCCGCCATCTCGAGGAATGTCTTGTGGTTATACAGCTTGCCTTTTACCACAATTGGGGGGAAAAGGGCTTTTTTCCCCGTGGCTTTGGGTGGAGGAGGTTTCGCCTGGATGGAGTCTGCCACCTTGGTCCTGATCTCCTCTTCTCAGTTGAATAATTTCTGGCTACGGGTTTTTGGTCTCAAGCACCTGGAACCTATCCTTGATTAGTGTCACCAGTGTTGCAGTGTCATGTTGTGGTGAAGGGGAGCGTGGGGATGGGGGGGCATATTCCGCCTTCCGCATTTTTTTTGGTCCTATGATCTTCCGGGCTTTCTTTTTTATGCCTTTCTGCGTGTCTAGTCTTGGGAATAATAACTAGATGGTTTCGTCTAATGTGGGTAATTATGAGCTCCAAGAGGTGTTTGGACTCATCGTCGGTGTGAGATTCAAGAAATTTAAGGTTTTTTTTTGCATTCACGGTACCCGTCAGCGTGCATTCTGAGTCGGGATTTTATTTTAGGAACGCTTCTTCTATAGTTAGCGGAAGCGTTCGATGAGAAGCTCTACACACTCTCGTTAGTCTCGTTGTCAGAATCTTCGTTTGCTTCTACGCCGTCCAGCCGATACACAAGCAGATACACTAACCACTACACTGCCTGCCTAGTTAGGGATTGTCTTCTGATCTTTCATGATGCCGATATTGGTTTTATACGAGTTTATTCATTTGAGAGAATCTGTTGCCCAAAAAAATATCCCCCATAGAATTTGATAGATTTGAAAGGGGAGCCGTCAGCACGTAGATGCGCATGTAGTCCATTGGGCTATCCTTCTCCTGGTGCAGCGCTGTCTTACCTTAGAAGCCCGCAACTTTTAAGAAAGGTGCAGACCCGCTCAGGCCGGACATGCTTTATTTCATCAGGTTCCAGGAAACTTTACCCAAGGTATCGTATAGTCTGATGAGGGCGTCACATTCGCAGACTATATGCTGGTAGTTTCATCTACTTCGCACTTCGCACTTCGCTGCATTCTATTTCATTACTGACTCCAAATTTGTGCAGTTGGTATCTGACCACCCAGTACCCTGTCAGGACGCCTGTGATGATTCTCAGTTGCCTCCTGTTCAGTTTTAGGAGTCTTCTCACCTCGTTGCAATTTGTAGGACCTTGTATAAAGAACCTTGACTGTCTGAGGCCTCCCTGTTCCAGCCATTCGTCTTGGAACGGGATGTTGGACCAGTTCCTGATCTTGGTTTCCACTAGACAAGAACCAACCCCAAGAGCAGGCTTGAGCTCAATAAAGGCAGTGTTGCTACCTTTAAGAGCCAGCTGGCCCGCCTACTCGTTGCTTTTTATTCCTCTGTGACCTGGGACCCAAGCAATGGTGATCTCACTGAGCAGTTAAGGCTTGATACAGTCAAGCGTGAGCCTCTAGTTGATCTTGTCCTAGCAAAGGGCTCGGAGTGCTTCCTGACTGTCGCTGCATATATAAATACGCCCGAATAACCTCTCTGGAAATTCTTCTGAGCACACACGTGTATAGCATACACGTACATCTCAGTCTAGTATACCGTTGTGTATCGACCCAGTGCAAGACTAATTTTCGCCACAGGTCTCTCCCCATATACACCAGCACCTGCATCCTCCCTCATCAGAGACTCATCTGTGTACCAGATGAGCCCCTTCGGCTTAAGGAAGCCTGGGTCAGGCTCTAGCCAGTCGTCCCTTACAGGGATGACGAGCTTGTATTGTGCAGGAAGGCTGAAGTTTTTGACAATGTATTCCTTCTGGTGAGAAGGGGTTCCTGTCTCATGATGCATGTCCCATATTCAGCCCTCTGCGAACCCATTGTCCCTAATCGTTCTGAGTCTGACAGAAAAGTCCCGGGCCCGTGCCGCCACGAAGAGATAAAGATGCAGTATGGCCAGAGCTTGTCCAGCTTTACCCTATAGGTGGATTTGCTAAGCGCGTTCTACTTAAGAAATACCCTATGCATAAATATTTATTTTAAATTTTTAATTGAAGTTTCTGTACAGCACTTTTATTATACTTTATAAAATATTGTTCACTTAATAACACAACACCCTTGTTTCTCAATTATCCTATAGCAAACTAGTTTAAAAACACAAGTAATGTCTTTCTCTCGTATTTTTCTTGCCAGCAGCAGTTTAACTGGCACAAGAAAATTACCTTGTTTGTGGCCTTAATTATTATTTTTCTGTTTTGGAATGAATTTATGCCACGGAAATATAAATTAGATTTTCAATTCGTAATTTTCTTGCCAGGCGACCGTATTGATTAAATGAAAATGGGAATATATTGAATTTATAAATAGAACAATGCAGAAAGAAAAAAAAACAAATTCACCATAAAAATTTTCAAACCTTTTAATTATATCGATTTCCAAAAATTATATTTGTCGCAGTCTCTATCCACTTAATAACTTCACCCTTTGTTACGCTGAAATTTGAAAAGGCTTTTGTTTGCCCCTACTACAAGTCCTAAAAATAATAAACGATAATAAATTAGGAGGATCAAAGTTTAAATTGAGCGCAAAGTTGGATAATTAAGAACCAGAACTTAATACTTGGGAAATTTATTCTATAGGGTTGATACACACGCATTTTCAACATGGCAAGAACATTTAAAGTTTACGTAGTAAATTTCATAATTTTTACTTAAACCTTAAAAAAATGAAGCTCACAAATTGGGTATTGTTTTTTCTGACACGGCATAATTTATGTGATTTTGTCGACGGCTAATTTTTAATTTGTCAGGAAAAATAGAAGTTTGTCGCTCTGAAATTTTTCTTTTAATGCTGTGACAAAGTCAGCAAGGATAGTGGGCAGTTTCCTCAAACATAGCAAAGGACAAACTTTTGAGTAGTGCGGCAAATTCGCATGAAAAAACAGTAACTTGCGAATTGATATTTTTAGTATTCAGTTTCATTTCCCATAGGTACGTGATTGAAAATAACTGGAATATAAGAAAATCCATGTCATTGATATTTTGCAATTATCTTCGCAATAGATTAAATCCTCAATTCTCATTTTAGATATTTACTTCATTTCTCCTTTTTCCCAGGTTTACTATTATATTGTGGATTCTCCAAGAAACGAAGGCAAAGATTTCTTTGAAATTAACAAAGAAACAGGAGAGGTATTCACCAAAGTAGTTTTCGATAGAGAAAAGCAAGGAGCGTACGCTTTGGAAGTTGAAGCCAGAGATGGAGCACCATCTGCTAGACCTAACAGCGATAACGAACCAAATTCAGGTAAACTTTCTTATTAAACTCAGTTTTATATTTTTATTTTTATTTAAAATCGTTCTTGTTCGCTAATATTATTTGCGCAAAATTCCAAGTCAAAGATAATCCCTCTTTTGAGGTGGATAAATTTAATATCTGTTTTGATCGAAATTGCTGAGTGAGATACGGCAGGATATTGGATATTAAAAAGTTTTATTTAAGAGTCTGAAGATTTTCAATCAAGTAAAGCTGAATTCCGTGAAATAGAACAATGTTATTTATCATAAAGATCACAATAATCCCAATGTTTCATGATGAAATATAAAATATATAAATTCCTAGGTAACTTAACATCCTCAACTGCCACTTGAGTTATTTTTGTTTCGGCTCAGAACGTTATTTCTCTTTTTAAGTACCCAAGCGATTCAAAATTAGTTAGAAAGGTGAAGTGCCCCTGTTAACTTCGAACAAATGGTCTGGTTCGTTTTCCATCATGAATTCCAGTTGTTAGCTAGTATATGAGAGAATCTTTTTTGAAACTTCTGGCAGATATCTCTAATACTTTTCAGGTCAGGTTGCATCATTTGATATTTCTGGCGTTTTTTTGTTGTAGGTATTTGTTGTTTTATAACAAAAATGTAATTTCTTGGATAAAAGTAAATGCACTTATGGGCCATAAGAAATGATATTTATGGAAATGATACCTCGTTAATATACATATGCTTATCACTGAAATACAGCTCGTACACATTTACGATGTGACCATCCGTTGTTACAACAATCCTGCCTTTATAAAAGCGTATTAGTTAGGATTGGTGCTGTAAACGTTAGTGGAATCTTTCTAGAGATGTCCGAGCTGAATATGGATCAGAGTTGTTGGGAATGTTGTCCGATAAATTCAATGAAATGGTTTTAATTCTTCACTACTATTCAATAACTTCTATCATCCCTAATAAATCCTATCGTTCTAACGTAATTGGCAAACTAAGATTCTGTCGGGATGACTATTATTGGACTTTGAAATTATTTGAAAATATCATGATCGATGGAGAACGTAAGAGGTTCTTTTTAGTAACACCTTTATAATTATTGTAACCAAACACAGTATTCGCAGGACTGATTTTTTGTCAATCAGCTCAAGGATTTAAATTCGTGTTGGAAAACATTATGCCTTATTAAATACAGGGTGTCACGAAAGGCTTGTTACAAACTTCTAGGGATGGTAGATCTCGTAAAAATAAAACTTTTTTTTTAATATACATGTGTCCGGAAATGCTTCGTTTTCCAGATATACAGGGTGGCCCAAATTTCAGCCTCATCATTGGGATCTCGGTAACCGTAAGAGATACGGGGTCGGTTAAATTATGGCAAAGTTGCGCAATTTTATGACCAATGGAATGCCGTTTTGAAACTAGAAAGATTCCGAATACTTCCGGAGATATTCGGAAAAAACCAAAATTTTGTAAAATCGTTTTTATTTTTCCCGGGCTTATTTGAAAAGCAATTTTAAAATAAATGTCACTTCATCATTATCACTTTTTCCCCTTTAGAAGATGCTGCTACTAAATTTAAAATTCGACGTTTCGTCTTCAGGCGGCCATCCTCAACTTCCTTTTTTTAAATACGGACCTGAATTTTTTATTTGCGATTTTGTCATCTTTGCGCATCCTAAAACCGATACTGTTTATAATTTTTCAATAACACAGGTCCATATTTAAAAAAAAAAAAAACATGGTTTCAGAGGAACGAAACATTGTATTTTAAATTTAATACCGCCATCTTGTAGAGAAGAAAAAGTGATAATGGCAAGGTGAAATTAGTTTTTCACAATCTTTTTAAATAAAATAACTTTCTCTTTTTTACAAGATGGCAGTATTAAATTTGAAATCCAACGTTTTGTCCTCTGGAATCATCATCAATTTTTTTTTTCAAATACGGACCTACTTTTTTGCCGTGTTATTGAAAAATTATAAACAGTATCGGTTTTAGGATGCCCAAAGATGACAAAATCGCAAATAAAAAATCTAGGTTCGTATTTAAAAACGTAAGTTAAGGATGGCCGCCTGAAGACGAAACGTCGAATTTTAAATTTAGTACCACCATCTACTAGAGGGGAAGAAGTGGTAATGATGAAGTAACATTTATTTTAAAATTGCTTTTCAAATAAGACCGGGAAAAAATAAAAACGATTTTACAAAATTTTGTTTTTTTCCGAATATCTCCGGAAGTATTCGGAATCTTTCTAGTTTTAAAACGGTATTCTATTGGTCATAAAATTGCGCAACTTTGCCATAATTTAACCAACCCCGTATCTCTTGTTACCGAGATACCAATGATGAGGCCCAAATTCGGGCCACCCTGTATATCTGGAAAACGAAGCATTTCCGGACACATATTTATTAAGAAAAAAGTTTTATTTTTACGAGGTCTACCATCCCTCGAAGTTTGTAACAAACCTTTCGTGACACCCTGTATATAGTTTGGTTTCATGCATAAAAATCCTAATCCCTTATGGACCATACGATTTTGTCATAAACTCTTGCATCTACCATGTTAAATCTACATTGTATTACTGGACGAAATTTAATATAAGTCAACTCTTGTGTCAAAACCTAATAAAACTGGACAATTTCTTATACATATGAAATATTTTCTGTGTTTGAGCGCAATCCTTTCCAACGGAATTGCATCGAAATCTTTTCCATGCGAATTTTACAGTCTATACATACACAATATTGGTTACTAATTCACTTGGTTTAACCCGAATCGGTTTCTATGTAAAATAGAGATTATTCTTTTCTTTTATTCGTAAAGATCGACCTTATCTAAACAATAATTCTTACTTAAGCACATGCATTGCAAATAATTTAGCTAGGGCTTTGAATAAATATTGAGAAATTAGCTGATTTGCAGTAAATCTCTACGGAACAACTATCATCCATTTACACGATAAAATATACCTACGGCAAAACTTGTAGCAAATAAACAGCGTCTGAGGTTGCAAATCGGAAACCGTGTCATGCTAAGGTAAATAAATTTGCAAGTAACTCGCAATTATTTATTGTTGACATACCTAATTGATTTAAAATTGGCTTATTCAAATAAGTTCCGCAGTATGCCGAAGGTTGCAAATCCCTGTCATGGTAACAAATCCTTGTTTTCCATATATATAATTTTTTCTCCGAATGACAGTAAAAGCGGCCTTTTAATGACACTTGCAGGATCAAAAGTTGTATTTTTACTGCCTAGGCAGTAAAAGTGGACTTTTACTGCCTAGGCATTAAAAGTGACAGTGTCACAACGTTCCAGGTAATAATTTCACTCAATTTGGTATTTGAAATTGATGGTGACAATGACAATTGTCAAAATAATTTAATTATTTGGGTAATAATAATGAATGAAATAAATATAAAAAAGATGTCCATGTGTGAATTTGAACATTCGGAGAAAAAATTATATGTTTTACATGGCAGAAAAGCAGATTTAATGCCTCGGCTGGTTTCCGAGCCTCGGCTATGCCTCGGCTATGAAACACCAGCCGCGGCATTAAATCTTGTACTTTTCTGCCTTGTAAAACAAATAACTATTTTTAGACTATTTTAAGAAAATAAACCGTATTTTTCCATGTTCCGTTTTTGCCGCAGCAGGTCGCAATGTTTCTCGAACAGTTTGAACAGAAATCGCATTTATTCGCAAAATCCGTTTTTTTTTTAGACTCAACATTGTGAAACGGTGCAAATTCAGGGCCGCTTCTTTCAAAGAAATATCCTTACATTTACATTTAAAATACATGATGTTATTTATTGCTTTTTTACCCTCTTCGACGATATTTCTCAATCAAATAAAAAATCGACATTTTCGATTTTGTTTTGCTCTAACTCCTGGCCTATTATTTATAACTGACAGTATCTTTTTATTTTTTTTCCATAGCTACTGATAAAGTAGTACTTTCACCGCAAGGGTAGATTAAATGATACTTCAACAGCAATGATAGATAAAGACGTTTATTTTGTCAAAAATATATACATATATCCTATTCACAATCCGATGTCCACAGGTACAGGTAAATTTATCACCTTTCCCTATCAAATAGCATTGAAAGGTGATAAATTTTACCTGTACCTGTGGACATCGGATTGTGAATGGATAATCTTATCCGAATTATCCGAATTAATTCACTCGCGGTTCCGCTCGTGAATTAACTTTTCCGGTCAACGATAAACTATCATTTTATCGTCTTGTATAAAAAATAACTATTATTCATTTATCAGACATTCATAATTGTAATTTAATGAGATTTATTATGATACAAACTCTTCTTTGGGGCATAGGTTTATAACCAATAGAAAGGCGACATACAGCAATAATCTGACAATATCAAGTTTTAAGCCTAGTAGACACCATTGATTGATACTCATAACTGATAATCGCGAATTTTTTCTATAGATCATCTCAAAGCCTTGTGTATTAGAGACTGTATTTAGCGAGTGTTTTAAGTATTCTATTCTCCAACTCTATGTGGTTTTGTCACCTCGCACAATGTATTATTATGAGTACAGTTTCTTTACCATGACTCGTTCGTTTTTTTTCTCTTCTATTTCATTTCACACTCTTGCTTGTGCCTTATGATTATTTTCCTAGAACTACCTCTGAAAATGGAGTTTTTCACACGCTCTTCAGCGTTCGAAAAGGTTTTTCACACGCTGCTTATTAGTTTTCTAGATATTTTGATCCTATCATCCTGAGATGACATGACATAAATTGCGATTGTCACCAATTTCTGATGTTGACGATTTGTTTCCTAACAAATAGGAAATATATATTTGATAATTTTATTTTGAAGTTGTAGGAAAAGCTTTGTAAAAAACTCGTTTGAAATAGTTATTCACATAACAAGTGCGTTTATGAACATGATTACAATAACGAGTGTGAAATATTAGAACGAGGAGATCGTAGACCGAGTCGTTCTAATCACACGAGTTTTGTAGTCATGAAGTCATGTTCATACGCACGTGTGATGTAAGTACATTTTATCTACAAAGCGAAAAATAAGAATGTTTTTTCACTAGTTGTGTTATGAGTCTCCATGACATAACTCTAATACTAGAAAAATATGACAAAATTGAGATGTTATAGAAGAATTAATATTATCGTAGCGTGAATAACTCTGCCACATCTTAAAATTACGTGGTAAATTATGCTGAAAAGTAAATTTGATCTGAAGCAGTAAATAACAGTTTTCTGAACCGACGGCAATCTGAACGAAATCTTTTTTCTTCTCTTCTGG